CTACGCTTATACAGTTGCCCCTCCCCTCCCTTTATCTATCCAAAATTTATAGCTTTCCATCTCTGACCCAGTACCCCCACCTGTCGTTATGCATCATTTTATTGTGATTGTGACTACACCAATTAAGATTTAATCTGTCTTGCAAATTGGCGAATAGAGACAACTTTAATGCTGCAATGGTCAGGGAAGAGTTCACAATTCGTTGTGATCTCGCCTGGAGCGAACGTGTAGGCCCTACCGTCCCAGTAAATGAAGTAAGGTTAGGTGGAGAGCTCAGATGTGTGTGCAATGTTGTGAGATAAACAAACACGTCAATCAGTTCACACCAATTATGATCTGAAATGCAGGATCTTTTCCGAATTTAGACCCTCAGAGGGAACCAGAACGGGATCTTGGGGGTGACTTTTGAAAAGTTAAAAATTCTATTTTCTTAAAACAGTGGGATCGTAAGCAACTGTACATACTGATTGGTTACCAGAGACAACAGGGTTTCTTCTGTACTCATCTTCTGTGATGATGAAGGTTGCGGTTAATAAAAAGCCTATGTCGCTAAAGGACTAAAGACATGTAAGAAATGTTTGTTAAGTTTAGCTTAGGGAAAGATTGCTCATATTCTCTACAATGAGTTCTGAGTTTCATTAGTTCAGAAAACCTACAACATGGTAACAATAATATTGTTTTTTTAAGCAATGATTTCTTCATTTCTGTAGGCTACTTAAAAATATAACAAAATATCAGGCATGTTCAGAAAAAAATATGGAAGCATCACATCACTCAAAAGGCCACATTTTCACTATAAGTTCGTTCAGAAATGCTATATAAGCATAATGCATATAAACATATTATTGCAAACCATTACTTGGCTTATTAGACCATGCCACTGGAGTTGGCAATCTCAAGATACTACCGAGTGTGATCATAATTTTAAATCCACAAAACAAAAGGCAATATAAACATAGGAATGTGACTTACTTTCCGTCATCCATCTGTACACAAACACTCTTCTGTCCAGGTGTGGGGGATTTTGTTGAGACCTGGGTCACATAGTTAAAACCAGGCAGAGATGTGGAGTTATCTGGTTCCGTGGTGTTTACCAGAATGTCCACACCCGGGGTAGTTGGACCTGGTCGCACATTTGGAACAGATCTGTTGAATGAGAAATAATTCTTCAAAGAAAAGGAAAATTACAAACAAACAAATCCTACATTGCACAGAATCCTTTTCAATGATGAATTCTTGAACTGTTGAACTGTTTATGTTCATCACACCCTATTCAGTTGAAAAGATTTGCCATCTAGTTTCTTTCAGCGATTACATAACATATTGAGTGACCCTGGTTGTTTTCAGCCATAACAAATATCTACTAAACTCCATCCAGTATACATGTTATCTATTATCAAATATCATATTTATTGCATGGAACATTCATTTCTACGAAGTTTGGCATAAATACATGTAAATAAATGAAACAGTAATGGAGTTACAGGGAAACTTGTGATGACAAAGCGGGCTAGGTACAAATGTGGAATAGGCTTCCATACTAAAAGTCAATGACCCACCAAATATTTGAGAACAATAACAGCAAGGTGTAACTATAGTATGATCCATGGAAATGAGGTTAAGCAATATGTCAACAATTATCTAAATAATATCCAATAATATATTACTTCGTCACATAAACATATCCATTACTAAATAGTAGCTGTAGACTCAAGTTTCTGTGTATGTGTGTGTGTGTGTGTGTGTGTGTGTGTGTGTGTGTGTGTTTGTGTGTGTGTGTGTGTGTGCATAGCTGTATGTGTGTGCGTGTGTGTGCAAAATAGCCCTTGAATAATAAAACCTGTTGTCTTATATCATTATACCCAGGTTTATTTCCATTTGAGTAGACTGGAAAATCACAAAGCTTATGAACTTCACACAGGATAGTGGACCCACTTGGTGGAAACAATAGTGGTGAAAACTCATGCTGCAAAAGAAACAGACAGTACCATCAGTAAAGAATACAACACAATCTGAACTCCCAATTCAGATATGCAAAGCACATATCATGTAACGAAAACTTGCTAAGAGAAAAAAATCCTGAATTTATGAATAAATGCTTCCTTGACAACATTAAGGGTTTTGCATTTTTAAAGATTTGGTAAGGGTTTTACGGCACTCACAGCTGCATAAGGTCATATGAGCGCATGGGACACGTTAAACATTTTCAGTTGGTAGGAAAATTCGAAATTTTGCCAGGGTGGTGGCCGAAGCCTACTCTCATTGATTTTGGACCACCAAGGGATCTTTAACGAGCCCAACTTGCACACTGGACCTCTTTGATTTTTTAAACCCTTATCCGAGAAGGCTAGGTGTTAAACCTTTGTTAGATCCTACCTACAATAAGATCAGGGGTGTGGCTGAAAGACAGCAGTAAGAAAGAGCCAAGGAGTGGCAATAGGAAGGCTGCAGAAAGAAGAAAGCAGATGACAGAACATTGTTAGGAGAGCAGGAAAGGAGGTGAAAGAAGAAAATTCGCCACTTCTGTCTGGATTCGAACCCGGGACCTATTGTATGAGAGGCTAACACCTTAACCTCTTGACCACGAGAGCCTCTGACAACAAGGGTTTTGTTGAGCCAAAAAGTAAGGCACTGAACAAAAAAATATGGACAACATTCAAATCCTGGTCCTCATCATAGAGCATTTAAAGAAAACTTATAGTTTATATATCCAAGATTACCTGTGATGCCATGCCTCTTATTATTGATAGTAAATCTTTTTTTGTGGTTTCATCGACATGGATAGATCTTTCAACAGGTGAGCTGCTTAAATTTCACCAGGCCCAACTCAAGCTAAACAGGATGCAATATCTCAACAGAAAGATCAGTAAATGGACCTAACCACATAGGAATCATACTCCCATGTTTTGGGTTTAACAGGAAGGAGACTACATCATAACATTAAAGAAATAGTCTTGCCTAGTCAATAACCAAACTTGCATTCACAGGTAAAAACCCTAGTACCTATTTCAATGTAGGCCTACTGTACAAGCATTTAGCCTCTCATAAACTCAGCCTGCCTCTCCATACTACATTACAACAACAATACTTTTTTAATGACATTTGAATACTAATGGTGGTAATATTCTCTATAGGTGCCCTGTCATTTGCCATTTTTAAAATCCAATTTTTCCCCCTATAAAAGCTGTTGGACAGTGAGACTGTAGGGTCTCTCACGAGGCCTTAACAGATGAATTTTCTGCTAATCAAGAATTAAATGCCCTCTCACACAAAGGACTTCACTTTCTATAAACTTACACACCTTCTTTATGTAAGCAATAACCTTAACTCGGTTCCACTTTTGAAATGTTTCCCGTTAGAGTTATCTAAATGAATCTTGCATAAAATCAGCACAAAATGCTTGTCATACATCGTAACTCTAAAAAACCCCACCAAATTACCTGAAGCAAGCCGGATGCTAAACATAAAAAAAATTCTACAATGTATGATGCCTTAAAACATCCCTCTAATGAAAATAGTATAATACAACAGTAATAAAAATTAAATGATGTGTGTTATTTCATGCCTGTAGGTTTCCGTACTTATACGCACCTTAGTAAGCTGAGGGTCTGGGTCCACTGAAAAAAAATGCAATTTGGTTACATTGAACATCAATTTTTTAAATGAAAAAACTAAGTTAAAAGAGCGATGATGAAGTTCAGCATAATAGGCTTAAAATGTAGGATACAAGCTACTTTAAAATCACATGTAATTAAACAATCAAGAACACAAGTCCCTCTTGGCTCCAGAAAACTACAATGTGAAACAATCTAACTATCCAATTTTGAATTTGAAATTGTCAGACAACAGCCTTCTTGGCAACAATTAAGTCCTAACAATTAGGCTCTCTACCACCATTAAAAAAACTTTTGTAAACAGGTGTTGGTGACTCTACGCTGGACAGATCTATTGATTTAATATGTTCACACAATACAACATTGCACATCCAAAGAAAAGCAGGCAAAGTAAAAAAAAAAAAGCCTAAAAAATCAGCTAAGTAATTCAAACCATTTTGCACCTCAACAATGTTGAAAAAGAGATATTATATCAAACCATTAAGAAGTCTACAGTTCACTTTCAACTAAATATATAAGAACCCTACTCTAGGAGATGGAAAAGTAAAATTTAATGTTTTACCCCCACACAGAAGAAGAAGAAGGAGGAGGAGGAGGAGGAAGAGGAGGAGGAGAAGGAGAAGAAGAAGGAGGAGGAGGAGAAGAAGGAGAAAGGGGAGGAGAAAGGTGGGAAGAAAAAGGAGGAAGAGGAGGAGAAGAAAAAGAAGGAGGAGGAGGAGGAGAAGGAGGAGGAGGAGGAGGAGGAGGAGGAGAAGAAGAAGAAGAAGAAGAAGAAGAAGAAGAAGAAGAAGAAGAAGAAGAAGAAGAAGAAGAAGAAGAAGAAGAAGAAGAAGAAGAAGAAGAAGAAGAAGAAGAAGAAGAAGAAGAAGAAGAAGAAGAAGAAGAAGAAGAAAAAGAAGAAGAAGAAGAAGAAGAAGAAGAAGAAGAAGAAGAAGAAGAAGAAGAAGAAGAAGAAGAGGGTGTCTTCTCTCGTTGTAGAAATCATTTCGCCTTGTGGACAAGAATCAAAATCGATTTATCTCTAATTCAGTTGAGTCTGGCCTTAGCTTGATCATCAGAGTAGGCTTCAAAGAGCGTCACGATTTGTTCCTTTTGTCTATTTCCGTCTGCCTGGTCCTGTGCATGAGCGGAAATTGCCTTTTCTGTATTGCGGGCCTACGTTTGTACCGCAATATCTAAGGCCATGTTTTGGTTTGGGGTTTATACTCCCCTTTGCAAAACAGTAAGGATATGAGGCAAGACCTTAGGTTGTAAAGCCAACTGCTGTAGGGCTTGACCACTAGGATTGAGAGACATACACACACGCACACGCTCACACACACGCACACACACACACACACATACACACACACAGACACACACACACACACACACACACACACACA